TGCATCCCTCAAGCATTTCCAAAAAACCAGCCTCTGAAAATTGAGTGTTTAGCTTTAAGTTTGAGTTTCACATTTCCTCAGAGTGGTGATAGCTAAGTGGACAAGATGCTAGGCACTGGAGCAACACATTGTAACAATGTAAGCTTGAAACTTTGCAATTTTAGCTATAAAGTAAAATTAGTTATGCAGTATAAATAATAACATAATTATTTTACTGTATCATTAGCATTATTAATACTGATATTATTTCTCACATTTAAAGCTTATAAAACAAATTAAAGCAGATGCAAAAGTTGAAACTCTAATTAAAAATACATATACTGTATCACCACAAGCAAATCAATTTTGGACATTACTGCACATAGATGAAAAAGACAAGTGCTATAAAAATAGGATAGCATAGCTGTAGCATTTTTTTTTATTGTTATGGACCATTTTCTCATGTTTCTTACACTTCAAATATAGTAATACCACTATATCTGAAAATAAATATGAAGAAATAAAAATTTTATTTAAGTCTTGTCCATTTGGCTGTCGCTGCTTGCAGGAAATGAAAAACTTCTAAAGTTTTATAAGTGAAACACTCAATTTTCAGAGACCTGTTTTTCAGAAATGCTTGAGAAGTGGGTTCTATTATTTGAACAAAAGAGCTGTTTTATGTTTTTTTAAGGACTACACATAAGTTTTGTTTGAATCGAAGACCCAAATGTCTGACCCCCTTCTTGTCAGCAGAGAGACAATAACTGTGCAAAACCATGTACTGTTTGCTGAGAAATATCATTTATTCAACTAATTTACAAATGTTTTCAACCTGTTTCATAGGCTCCCTTTAAGCTTGAAACACAGAATGTAAACATAAAAACATTTGAATTATGGAATTTTCAAATTTTACATTTAAACTTAATACAGGTATACCTCACCATACATCAGTAATTGGTTTCAGGAGAGGCAACTTAAGTCAAAAAATGGCGTAAGTCAAATTTACTTGTCACTAGGCTAAACCACAAATACCATTCCCAGTTCTGTATTTTATTTATAAATGCATTTTTAATAATATATGATTAATAATCTATTTTAAGCTTACAAACAAATAAATTTTAGTTTTTAATATAGTACAGGAAAAAAATAATCTAAATTTACAAATATATGTACGGTGCATACATACTTGTAAATATACATGTTTACAATTTGGCAATGTTTACAGACATCACGGACTCTTTATTTGTGAATGTGGTTTGCTCTAAGACATTATAAAATAAGATGGTTTTGTAAGGTTAAATAACAAATATGTGAGACAAGCAGAGGGCCAGAGGGACGATCCCTAATGATCACTTACACTGCACAGGTTGATGAAACCCGGTCTGAGTTGTCAGATGGCTAGGAGGGCAAAAAGTGAGTGGGAGGTGCGTCAGTAAGTCAGCAGACGTCCTTTCAAAGATAAGAGACAGGGTTAACAAATAAACAAAGCATTTATTGAATAACTAATCTAAATTCTATGAGGCGGAAATAAAACTACTAAGGTTAAATGTGGTTATTCTACTTCTATTTACATAAAATGATGACTAATCTCGTGTCACTGACCTACTAACGAGAGCTTATACAAGTTCTAAAGTCCCTAAATACCTCTCAGAATAATGGAGAGTTGGCAAATGTCATTGGTATGGAAGAGGTGGAGGCTTTGGTGTCTTCTCTGATGGGATCACAGTCCTTGTCATGGAGATTGATGAGCACGAGTACCCAAAATAACTTCAGTGTGCAGACGCATGCCGAGTTCTGGGAGAGTGAGCTTTTATTTGTTTTTCATGGTAAAGGAGTCACATGATCGCCATATGTTGACATTAATGGTACATTCTTGACACCTATGTGTGAACTTTCCCAGCTAATTGTGATAACAAACGGTGACCTCTGATATAATTCTCACCAGGAGCATTTTTTCTGTCGGAGTTGTTTACAGTTCTTTTTTTTCGACAACTGCATTAAATTCACGGATTTCACAAATATAGTTATTAAAATTATTTTGCGATAGTAAAATATAATCTAATTTATGTTAAATTAACCAATAAAGAGTGGCACTGACAATGACACCAAACAGTAGATATTGGAACTACCATGGAAAATGCCAATATTGAGCTCTTAAAGACTGCTAAATAAGATGACAACACAGAATCACAGATGTTTTCATATTTTGTTCTCTACGATTTATGATGATTATATGAACATTTACTGTAAATGTATGTATTTTAATATGATTTTATGTGCTTTTAACACTTTTCTAGAGATATTACGATTTCAATATTTGTGGCGGACAGATATAAAGTCGAATAAAATGACTTAAACTTGATTTTTATTTTTCCATATATTTTTTTGATAAATGACGCATAATCGAGAACGACATAATGCGAAACGACGTAACTCAAGGTATACCCGTATTTTTAAAATACAAACTTGAATGTGATACATTCAAAGCTGTCTGGCTCTCATCTTTCCATGACACTGAGCAGTTAAAGACAGTTAAAGACTGGCTTTAACTGTCATGGAGAGATAAGAGCCAGACAGCTTTCTTGTGAGCTAACTACTCCCTCTGGAAGCATTAAGACAAATTGTGTAGGACTAAAAGAGAAGGGGCTTTATGCTAGACATCCAATGGATCTTTGTTATCTTCTCTGACTTTGAGATACAGTTTACAAACTGACTTTTGATGTTTTGATGTGTTTCCCTCCAACATCAGGAAAATGACACTTTATTAGAGGTGGTGTTCTAGTGTTGGGAGCATAATGTTGTGTGACTACAAACCCATGCATGTCTTTGAGCAAGGCATTTTGACCATTCAGAGATGTCATCAGCCCTAGTTTATTTTTATGGATGACAATGCTATACCATATGTAGCTAGTTCACCTGGTTACAGATTTCCTCAAAGAGGATATTTGTAGAATGTAATGACCAGCTAGAACTCTGGACCTAAACCCAGTTGATCTTGTCTCAGATGTTTGGGAAGGGCTTTTGGGGTATTGCAGCTCATCAGTTCTATTCCAGGTCCTGAGCTAAAATTTCCTCTTGTAGAGGAGTGAGGTTTATTGCCAAAAGCCTTCTCCAGAACCTTGTAAACAATGTGGAGGCTTTGTATGGGTGCTGTATGGTGATCAGGTATGGTCACCTTCCCTATTACCTTCTTTCTGGAGATCTGCTACTTCATATTTTGGATATGAATGCTGGATGCTAGTATTTTTTGTTATCACAATCTCTTGTAACATTAAGGTAAATATTTATTTACTAAATTTCACTCCAATTTACCAAGTATTTTTTAAGATACCCTACAATTTGTGTTTTTACATTAATTGGACACCAATATACTTATTAGCCTGTTTTAATTATTTTTCTTTGCAAAAATTGAATTTAGAATTGATGGTGGAAAGCCTAGTTGCTTAGCCACAATAATTTTTTTTCTTCAATGGGTTTTTCTCTACTTCTACTACGATGCACAGCCATTCTTCTAAAGTCCAAACTTGTTTCACAGAGAATAAATACCATGTGGGAGAAAATTAGATTAAAAGAGAACACTAATGATAACGAGCATTATAAAGGATCACTTCTGTTGAATAAAGTGTATATTCTGCTAGATGAAAATGCAAAGTGAAATGATTCATTCTTACATAATCACTAATTACCTGAACAAAGAGCAATATTAAAATTCTATTAGCAGCAATAGGAATTTTTTTTTTTTGTTACTAAAGAGCATCTAGAAGCTAGAAGGATGTTAAATTTCGATTTTAGTAATTGTAAACGTAATGTATTTCAGTAACTAATGTGTGTATATTTCATAATTTTGTAGGTGCTAGTAATAATCTTTTTTCTTTTTCCTTATCTTTTTTCCATTTCCTTCCAAGTTTATTATCTGAAAGCTGTCTTTCTTCTTTGCCTATGGGGTATTCTGGAGTTGATCTTTCTTTTTCCAAGAAAGCATCAGTTTGGCAGGTTTTATGGTCAACAAAAAGGGAAAGAAGGGACCTCAAAGAGGTACTTTTTGGATGGAGAGAGGATGCTGGTTTCTTTCAGTAGAAGGAAAGTTGTGTTTTTATAGGCAAAGAACCTCAAGGTCTGAGAATCTGATAAGATCTAACCCTTTTTATGATATTGTGGAGTTTGTGATATATAGGTATCCCTCGTATAACACTATAGATAATTCCGGAAAAGTGTCGTGTTATGCAAATCCATGCTATATGAAGCAAAGGACTAATGCAAAGCATGGTGTTAGGTTCCAGAAGTTAGCAAAACTATGCAATTCTTTTGTGTTACTAAAAGAAATATGTTTATTAAAGCAATTGATAATTTATTTCCACTCAATAATTAATTAACAATCACAATTAAAATTACTGTATTACACATTAATATTAATTTTAGTTAAATGAGGATGTTTTCTTTTTACAGAGTATCCTCATCTCCTCAGTTTTTTTGCTGATCTTGATTAGAAAAATCAGCAACATCTTAATTTTTTGATTTTTATCATAATTCTTTTTGGATGACATATTTATATCAGACATATTATCAGTGATTTTTTTTTTTCTTTTTCTTCTACAAATCAAGTTTGCATTCCAGGTTAGTTCATTCCCTGCTAGAAGAAAAGATTATGATGATTCATACTTCTTAACAATATATATATATTGTATAATTTTCTTTGAATAAACATTATAAATAAAATATTTGAATTTTTTTTTTTTTGAATGAAATGCATTATCATATTTTACATGAATTTATATGGGAAAAATTGTTTTGCTTAATGAGTGTTTTGCATTCAAGTAAGATTCTGGAATGAATTATGCTTGTTAAGTGAGGTTCTACTGTATTTAAGAATCAAGTAATTTATTAAACTAAAATGTGAAAAAAAATAAGATACCTTCTATGCAAATTTAAGATTTAAACATTAACTGTATTTTTCAATTATAAATTATAAAGATCAAAATATAATATTTATTTATTTATAGCAGTATAATATTTATTTACAGAACATTTGCTCAGGAAACATCACAATTTTTAGCACCGTATGGATTACCTTGCAAGAAATCTAGTTTAGACACTAGTATTTCTTGTGTTCAACAGAATCTTACTCAACTGAATCCATTTGGTGATGAAGTACCATTTAATCAAATGACAGAAGAACATATTATAGGTCAGGAATTAGAAAAAATTAAAAGTCAATCTCATAATAGTAAGTATATTAAGTTTTTTTAATTATATTATCCAATTATAAAAAGTAATTTCTTTTTTTTAATATTTATAACCTGCTGGCTGTATGTTTAAAAGACAATTTGTAAAGAGGATACATGTTATGTGAGGGGGAAGGTTACACACCAATTTTTAAATTGCAGTTAAGAGCTCTTGCTTATGGGAACAGCCATTGCTGCATAGAGTGGGGTGGGTTATGGAAAAGTTTCATTTTTAGCAATTTTTTTATGGGGTATATGAATGAAATACAGGTAGCCCTCGGTTTACGCCGCAGTTCCATTCCTACAAAAGCCGGCACAAATCGAATCAGCATAAAATGAACCCGTATTTACACTGAGGTATAGGGTTGGGTTCTACATAATTGAAAAATACGCAAATAATTTTGTTTATTAATCCAATATAATACAAAATACAAATAAATTTAATTTTTAAAATGTATTTTCTCATAAAATAAAGTGAAATGTTTTTATTAAAAAATTTTTGTTTTGGATCTCTTACATTTTTCGGAAAAAGTATCCATCTTTAATTGTTTACATTTTTGTTGTCTTTCATTGAGAATTTCGGAATATGGTTGAATGGATGTGATGATGCTCCTTTTTAAATTTGCACTTTGCACTTTGCTCCCAATCATTGTCTAACTTTCCATAGTTGAAAGGATATGTTAACCCGACGTACAGCTACAGACGAGCGGAGACACTGATTGGTTGACCACCAGTTGCCGTAGCACATATATAAGGTCAGTTTGAGCAGGAAAATTCAAGGTGGCTAAAGACAGATAGACATCGTCTGGCTAATAAAAAAGTATAATCTGTCCAACAAGAAATAGATTTGTCTCACTAACAATAGTTTGTGATCACCGGAAGTGCTACTGCATTATAAGGTGTTTTCCTGAATGAACTGATACAGGATACATTCATTGGCACTATAAATTCAGACGCCATTTATTGGACTATTAAGTTAATAACTTGACTCATGGGTACCTAAACATCTAGTATTTTAATATTAATTTAATGCAAATGTATACATACCCAATAATAAACAGAAAAAATAAATATATTCAATAAAAATCTTTGTTTTAACGAATGCACAGTACACTGTTGTGGCTCGGTAAATATGTCCATACTGAAATGAAAATCAGTCTAGCATAGGGAAAATTGGGGAATTACACCATGAAACTGTGAATTGCGCAGTGGCATTATTGTGAATCAACATAAATTGAGCCGACGTAAACTGATGGCTACCTGTATGTCTAATTTGTTATTTAATAAATAATTATGATGTTTTAATAAACTGTATTTAATATTGAAACTTCTTTAGATTTTACTTACATGATATCAAAATGTTTAAATTATCTTAGAGTCAAAGAATAATTTGAATCAACAAGAATTTAAGATAAGTTTAATAATGAGTGCTTAAGATATAGGAAGACTGGAACAAACAACATGATACAAATTTGTAAAGAGGATACATGTTATGTGAGGGGGAAGGTTACACACCAATTTTTAAATTGCAGTTAAGAGCTCTTGCTTATGGGAACAGCCATTGCTGCATAGAGTGGGGTGGGTTATGGAAAAGTTTCATTTTTAGCAATTTTTTTATGGGGTATATGAATGAAATACAGGTAGCCCTCGGTTTACGCCGCAGTTCCATTCCTACAAAAGCCGGCACAAATCGAATCAGCATAAAATGAACCCGTATTTACACTGAGGTATAGGGTTGGGTTCTACATAATTGAAAAATACGCAAATAATTTTGTTTATTAATCCAATATAATACAAAATACAAATAAATTTAATTTTTAAAATGTATTTTCTCATAAAATAAAGTGAAATGTTTTTATTAAAAAATTTTTGTTTTGGATCTCTTACATTTTTCGGAAAAAGTATCCATCTTTAATTGTTTACATTTTTGTTGTCTTTCATTGAGAATTTCGGAATATGGTTGAATGGATGTGATGATGCTCCTTTTTAAATTTGCACTTTGCACTTTGCTCCCAATCATTGTCTAACTTTCCATAGTTGAAAGGATATGTTAACCCGACGTACAGCTACAGACGAGCGGAGACACTGATTGGTTGACCACCAGTTGCCGTAGCACATATATAAGGTCAGTTTGAGCAGGAAAATTCAAGGTGGCTAAAGACAGATAGACATCGTCTGGCTAATAAAAAAGTATAATCTGTCCAACAAGAAATAGATTTGTCTCACTAACAATAGTTTGTGATCACCGGAAGTGCTACTGCATTATAAGGTGTTTTCCTGAATGAACTGATACAGGATACATTCATTGGCACTATAAATTCAGACGCCATTTATTGGACTATTAAGTTAATAACTTGACTCATGGGTACCTAAACATCTAGTATTTTAATATTAATTTAATGCAAATGTATACATACCCAATAATAAACAGAAAAAATAAATATATTCAATAAAAATCTTTGTTTTAACGAATGCACAGTACACTGTTGTGGCTCGGTAAATATGTCCATACTGAAATGAAAATCAGTCTAGCATAGGGAAAATTGGGGAATTACACCATGAAACTGTGAATTGCGCAGTGGCATTATTGTGAATCAACATAAATTGAGCCGACGTAAACTGATGGCTACCTGTATGTCTAATTTGTTATTTAATAAATAATTATGATGTTTTAATAAACTGTATTTAATATTGAAACTTCTTTAGATTTTACTTACATGATATCAAAATGTTTAAATTATCTTAGAGTCAAAGAATAATTTGAATCAACAAGAATTTAAGATAAGTTTAATAATGAGTGCTTAAGATATAGGAAGACTGGAACAAACAACATGATACATATATTATTATAATTATTATTANGGATGGTTGTATCAATGCAAGGGATGCTGATGGTTTAGCTTCAGCATGGAAGTTCTTTGTAAAAGAAAAGTTAAAACACACAAATTTTTAGTTCACATCTGCCTTTATAATGTGATGCTTTTTTGATATATATATTTTTATGAATTTAATCATTTTTGTGCATTTAATCTTTTAGGTTTATTTTTGTTTTTAGTTTTATACCGCCTTATTTTATTATTTATATCAATCTATTTATTATAGTTATTTTGTATAGTGATTGGTTAATTTATTTTACGTTTTAATTTTGAATTTGTAATGTTTGAAAGTTCCATTTTAACGCAATTTTCAAAGGTGTTCGATAACTTGTTACCTCATGATGGCCTATTCCATTAGGCTGAAAACATTTTTGTATTAATAAATATTTCTCAGCATTATAAGGTGTTGAATGTTTTATTAGATAATTAAATATTTTAGAATTTGTTCATTTAAATTTTAAAATTTATTTTAAATCTTTTAACTCTTTTTTTTTCCTTATTAACTATTCTTTTATTTTACTGTATTTGCTTCTCAGTAGACTAGTGGTCACTTCCACTAGGTCCTCAAAAGATGCTTGTAACTGTTGACAGAGGCAATCATGACTGACCAGTGGGTTCCTGGTCAATCGTGATTGCTTCTTACATCTTTCTAATATAGGAAAATTGAAAAAGAGAGGTGGGCATGCTGCATTCATTTTCAAAATGGTGGTTGTGAGTGCACATGTATCTGTTCTTGTCATCTTTTTTGATAGAAATGAAAATCACAACTGGTTAAAAGTGACTTTTGGTAAATAGCAAGAGTCTGATAGAAGTTTGTAAACTACAAAATATTATTGATGTTCAAGTACTGAATCTCAATAATTATCTGAAATGTTCTTTTCAGATAATATATTTTTTGATTAATCCAGATCAGTGGTTGCCAACCTTTCTGACTTCACAGACCACTAAAATCAATTTTGAATCCTGTAGATAACTATCATGAATTTTTTTAAACACTACAAACATCTATAGAATAATGATTACAAAAGTTCCATTTTACTTTATTATTATGAAATTCACTTGTTTAATTATAACAAGTTAATGCTTATTTGAAATAAGTTTATGGATTCTTGGCTCTTTTCCATGAAAGGTGACAATTGCACTTATAACATTATTTATTGATTTATTGACATTATTACTTAGTGATAACAATCATTTTGTGTTTAGTTTTAGATTTGAATAAAAAACAGCAACCAAGCATTTTACGTTCCTTTTGTAATACTTTTCGTAACCTTGACGATTAATGTCCAAATCAATGTCTCCATGGACTACCAAAATTTTCTCACAGACCATCAGTGGTCCAGGGACCACCAATTGGCAACTGCTGATCCAGTTGATGTAATAATATAATTAATATGTTTGGGATGTTCTGTGTTAATAAAGCATCATGTTTAATAATAGTTTTTCATCAAGCATCATCATTACGTAATCAGAATTTGAATTTTCTTTGAATCTAATATAAGTTGTCATTAATTATATATTATTCATATACATTAATCATATTATTGTTTATATGATTTATGTTATTGCTGTTGTGAGTTCATGGGATTTTTGATCTCAGATATTAAAATTAGAAAATTTTTTTGGATTTTTTTTAATCTAAAGGGCTATGACTGGAAATGTCACAAATGTGAAGTGCATGGATTCATGATGAGAAATGCCTTGTAGATTCATTTAAAATATTGTCTATTCTAGAGAGAGAGAGATGTTGGTTTGTACAATACCTGTTATTATCAAAGTATCTGTGACCTATATAAAAGTTCCTAGATAGTGGGTGTCTTTGCTCCTACTTTTATCTTTCTCATAAGGATAATCCAGAAGGTCTTGAAGTCAAGTCACTAAAGGAAAGTTCTAGATATCCAAGGTATAGATAGACACAATGTTGGTAGAGGAACTCTGAGAATCATGTGTTGACATTGATACACACCACTCTTGAGTTGATTCTTCAGTTAGCAACAAAAGAGGCTTGATAAAATTTACAAATAAGTGAAGAACTAGTGGTGAACAGAGAACAAGACAGCAGCTGGACAGGAACTGAACAAAAAAGGTTATAATGTACTTGAGATAGCTGTTTTTATAGATTGAGTTCATTGAATAGACACTGAAATTGATTTTTAACCTTCTCCACCATGATCTGATTAGTTTTCATCTGTCTCCAGATGAAAATTGAGACACCTTTCTGATTACATGAAAGGTTGACATTAATTTAACACTTTGATCCCAGTCACAGATAATTGTCAGATCTTAGGATCACCATTGTTTTAGATCAGACATTGTGTTTACTTCTCATTTTTCTCATCCATAGTTATTAACATAGCTCTGAATGTTATTTGTAAATTCCCTACTGGTAATGTCAGTCTAATAGTAGGAACATTTATTTGTTTATTCCTATTATGACAGTGTGCAAATAATTCAGACAAAAATGTGCATTCATTTACAAAACTACTAGGGAAGGTTAAATCTAGATATTCTCACCTTCAGGGCCTTACCCTGTT